TGACTTCAACCCTCATCCACCCTCTGCTGATTTCCAGAGGCTTGCCAGAGGAAGGCTACAGCTGGGTACTTTAGGACAGGTCAGAAATGGGTAAGTAGAGAAAGGCCATGAAAGTACCAAGGGTAGGCATAGAGAGAGGATGAGCAGGGAGTGTCTACCAGTGGGCATGAAGGCTCTGTCCCGAGTGGTGGTGGGAAGTTGCTGGAGTTAGTTTAGCTGGGGAGCAAGAAACTGTAGCAGATTCTGAGTAAGACAGAGAAAAGGCCTCTCACTCCCTCCCTCTCTCTTGCCTGACTCTGCTGAGCTCCAAAAGGTTCTCTCTCTTACAGGGAGCTTGTGAGGAGAGAGGCTGAGTAGTCTTGTCATAAAACTAAAAACAAACAAAACAAAAAACACCCCAAAAAAATCCCCAAACCCATTCTCTTCAAGTTGCTTCTGAATCAAAATGACCCTACAGGACAAAAGCAGAACTACTCCTATTGGATTTCCAAGGATGTACTCTAAGGGATCTCTGGTGGCGCTGACATCCCAAAGGTAGGGGGTTCGAATCTACCAGCCACTGTGAGGGAGATACATGGGCAATCTTCTCCTGTGTGATTAACTGCCTCTGAAAACCCACTGGAGAGTAAGTGATGGATTGGTTCTGACTCAGCAGTATACAACAGCTCTTTATGGAAAGGAACTCTGGTGGCCTAGTAAGTAAGGAGTTGTGCTGCCAACCCAAAGACAAATGGTTCAAATCCACCAGCCACTTTGAGGGAGTTGTTGTTGTTAAGTGTCATCGAACTGAATACGACACCCTATGAACTACAGATCTGAACTCTGTCCTATCCTGTGCCACCCTCACACTTCCTCACTTTCTGAGGGAGAAGGTGGGCAATCTCCTCCTGTGTGATTTACAGCCTCCTGCATATCCACTGGATGCTCAGTTATGAGCCAATTCATACATACATATAACGACGGCAATCTTTATGTTGTCCGTGGAGGGTGCAGGGACAGCTAGCCAGCTGAACAGGCTTCAGGAGGTATTGCCCAAGACCTGTGCAGCTGCCTCCTGCCAAGTAGCCCCCTGAGGGCACTATTTGAGCCCTGGGTCATTGGCTGCTGGAGGCAGTTACTTGTTGGGAAGTTCCCAGAAGCTCCCGCTTATGGAAAGGAGCCCTGGGGTGTAATGCATAGTCATTAGGCTGCAAACCAAAAAGTCAGTGGTTCAAATTCACCAGCAGCTCCAGAGAAGAAAGATGAGCTCTCTCTCCATGCAAAGATACACAGCCTCAGAAACTCGACAGAGGGTTGTTATGAGTCAGAATTGATTCGACGGCAGCAAGTTTATTTTGGTTTTAGAATCGTTATGGGAGCAGATGGCCATGTCTTCCTCCCACAGAGTGACCAGTAGGTTCAAATCGCCAACCTTTTGGTTAACAGCTGAATACTTAACCACTGCACAATCAGGGCTCTTAAGTCTAGTCCTAAGCTAGGCAGAATAGGCACATTGAGCCACCTGCTTTGCCTAGATGCCCATCTGGCTACCCTGGCCTTGAATGAGATGAGGCAGTTAGCAGCTGAAGCTCAGATGCAAAACCAGGCAGAAGCCAGGCTGACCTCCTGTGAGGACACCCCAGCCTCCACTCTGGCTTCCTCCGTGTGTGCCATCTCCACATACTCCAACCAGTTCAGGCAGGAGGAGGGCAGAAACAAGGCCAAGGAGCAACCAGACAGTAGAGGGTACTGTGATAGAGGCCTGGCCACCCAGTCGAGAGGTGTCCAGAGATGCCTGCTGCAGCCTCAGGGCAATGGGGCCACCTTTCATTTGGCCTAATTGCATCTCCCTGCTGAGATGAAGGCAAGGATGATAAGGTCTTTCCTAAGCTAGAGTCAGAAAAGGGAGGGTGAGGTTGGGAACCCTTCATAGAAGAATTTAAGTCACAGTGTGAGAGCATATCCTGTCAATCACAGAAGGTGTGAGTTCATACCCAAATACCAGGAGACACCCCCATCCCCACCCCGTGCTGTTTACTGGGCTTCCCCTGTCCCTGTGGGAGAGTTGAATGGCAGTAAACCTCTAAACTTCACAGAGCTGGGTGGACTTTTCCCTGTCTCTGAGGGGGGGAGAACAGAAGTGGAGAGGGCTTTGTGACCAGAATCCTAGGGAATTGTGCGGGACTCTGCAGGCTCCTTCTTGCGGTCACGATCTGATGATGGACTGCAGACTAGATGCACTAACGTAGAAAAGCAGACCCGGGCATTTTAGAAAGAAAGAGAAAAAAAAAAGGGTGAGGAAAAAAGTATTCCTGTCCCCCAGCCCCACCCCTTGGTCTCATCTTCAGTTACCAGAATATTCTATTAACCAGAAGAATCCTTCCCCAAACATTCAGGCTTGGGCAGTTACAGAGTCTTTCTAATTTTCCAGTGATCAAAATCCACAGGGCTGGGGTTCTCTGGTGCGAATTCATGTGAATTCAGCTCCCATTTCCCTGATCATAAGGGGAATAACAGCAGAGTCCTGTGCTGGTGTCAGGGGCTCTCTCCAGCTGCTTTTAGCTGAAATTCATTCGCTCATATTGTTGGCACACACTTAGCTGAGCACCTATGTGGCAGGCATTGTGCCGGGTGCTGGAGGTCAAGAAATCTTCCCCATCAGGGAGATTGATGGCTAAGGTGGGGAATTGAGTTAGATGCCTTTTCAACTCAAAGCAACCCCATGAGACAGAGTAAAATGTTTCCTCTTGGGTTTTCTTGGCTATAATCTTAGAGAAGCACTGGGTCTTTCTCCTATGGAAGCTGGGTGAGTTTGAATCATCACCCTTTCGGTTATCAGTTGAGCATGCAACCATATAACCACCAGGGCCCATTTTCATAGATATGTGAAAAAGACAAGCTTTGTGTCACCTGGTATCACAAAAGGCAGCAAAGGATGCTGTGGCATCCTGAAGGAGTGTATCTCCTCCTGCTCCTTGACCCCCAGCAGACCCTCAAACTGAGTTCTGAAGGAATGTGAGAATCCAGCAAATGGATGAGGAAGAGAAGAGCGTTGCAGAAATGGAGTGGCAAATATGGCCTCATACAATTTATAAGAAAGATTTAGGGAAGAGGAAAACCCGACTATTCAAGGTGTTCAAGCCACGGCAATGAGAAGAAAACATAGAACAGATTCAGAAATAGCGGAAAGGCAGGTTTAATTTCTAGTGGCAGAGATGAGGTCAGAGGACAAGTGTTCTCCATTGACTTATTTTGTGCAGCTTTGTGAAATGACTGATTATAGTCAGAAGACGCCACAGAGACAACCAGCACACAGGCAGTCCATCCAGTCTGGGATTATCAGCTACAGTTAATAAACTGCCCTAAAGTTATAGAAGGGAAGGCCTCTCCTCTCATTGGAGGAGGCGGGAAGGATGAGCCTCCCTTAGATGCAACCTTCACTCAACCTCACTCAACCCTCAACCTTCACTCTCCATTTACCATTAGAACTGACTCATAGCTGACCTCCTAATGGGTTTCCAAGGCTATAAATAATGTGAGAGTAGACTGGCCATCTTTTGCCCTTGGAACAGCTGGTGGAATCAAAGAGCCTGAAAAGTGTGGCCTTTGGATGAGCTGTGCAGCTCTCTATGGACTATATACACTACCAGATGCAGATAGAGCCACTGTTTTTTAAATCAAAGCCACGAAGTTTACATAATGTGTGTCTACACTGATGTGGATCTGTGTGCAAACTCTATTAATGAGCAAGGACAAGTGGCAGGAGGTTACATAAAGATAATTTCAGGGCTAGAATGTGAACACAGGAACATTTCTGTTCATAGGAATGATCCTTCAGAAGGGAGACTGAATATCAATAACTCATTTAACTCAAACCAACTCATAACTTTTCCTTCATTGGATTTCTGAGGCTGTAAATTGCATAGGAGAATGCAGAGTCGGGTAGAATCGAACCACCAGGGAGGCTTTGTCTTAGCAGCAGCTACTGCTCTTGCTATAGAAGTCCTGGCTGAGTCTCCCTCCTCAGGAGGTTGGAAATTCTGACTTTACCCAGCATGAGAAGTAAGGCTCTAAAAATAACTTTTTTAGAACATAATTCCTAACATAGCTACTCAGATAGAGCCATAATATTGGATTAACAACTTCAAGCTAGCAGACCAGACAGTTGTCTAATTAATAAAACTTATAAAGCAGAACAACTTATTGATATTACAGACACGACACTTAGTACAACAATAAACCCCAAATCCATGCAGAACCTTCCATCTTCTCTAAAAGGCTCTCTTTCTCTGTCAACCTGGACCCCTTCCCTCCTTAGTGAAACTGGGGACTGGGGAATGGCAGAGCTCTGGGTTGGGGGGTGCTGAGAAGAGTGAAAGGCAATTTAGCCTCTTTGTAATGATTAACAATGAGAATGCTGAAGTCAGACTGGGTTGAAATGAGCGTAGACCTTAATTTGCTTATTTGTAAAACAAGTCTATTATTTACCTTACAGTTGCCTTAAAGTTTAAATAAGACAATGTAAGTAAAACACTTAGAGCTGTGCCTGACACACAGAAAGCCCTGAGAGAATGCCAGCTCCTGTTCTTATTGAGGAATAATTCCTACTACCACAGGATACCTGGCACATAACGGTAGCTATTGCAATCACCATTACTTGCGTGGCATCATTAACTTGAGGAGAGGGAGGAGCAGAATAGAGATCTGGGTCTTCTCTGGGAAGACGACTGTGTGTCTTAGGATAAACTCACCTTTGTGACCTCAAAGAATCTTACAAAGCCCACAGGGTGTGTGTGTGTGTGTGGGGGGAAGTGACAGGGATGCACCAGCATATTCCCTCTAGGCAAGGTTCTGACAGTTAACCTGCCACCTTCATAGGGTGATTTTGTTTCTCAAATTGTAAGGCGCTCCCTGAATGCTGAGGCTTGGCTCCCAGGGGGAAGGCCAGGGGAGGGGAAGGTCATCAAAGTGCTCTGGAGCAACGGGCACAGGGTTGGGGTTGCACTCTAAGTCTAGAGCACTTCGCATTGGGCACCCTGCCAGAGCTTCAGGCGTGGCGTGGAGAAGGCGGGGCCTGTGCAGCAAGGGCGGAGCCTATGCGGGGAGGGCGGGGCCAAAGAACCTAGAGCGCTTACGCCGCCCCTCCCCGCAGGTGGCTACCCTCCCAGCTGTTGGCTCTTTCCTTCCCTCCTCTCTCCTGGTTCCCCCCCCCCTCCTCCACAGCTGACAACTTACCGCTCCCACCGCCACTTTTTCACAGGCGACCAAACCCCTCAGCCTCCCGCATCTTGCCTTGCAAGTTTCTCGTGGGCAACGTTGTGCGGAAGCCCCGCGGGGCTGATCCCTCCGCGTAGGAGGTGAGGGTGAGGATGAGTTGGGAAGGGAAAGAGGCGAGTACCTCGGAAGCCAGCTCTGTGCAGCGAATGCAGGCGAGCTCTGGACGGGCGCGCATCCGGAGGAGGGGGCCCATGCGGAGCGCCGCCCCAAGTCACTTTGAGGCTCCTCCCCAGGCGTCCAGCAGTTGGCTGCCAAGCCCTCCCCCCATCCCGCAGACCGGTGCCTCGAGCTCCTTCCGCCCCATTTCTGGCGAGCCCCTGGCGAACCGGGGCCAGCGTGGTACTTACTGTCGGGGCTTCTCTGGGCCGGGCTGGGTGGCAGCCGGTACGGGCACCCTGTCGCCGGCTCGCGCGCTGCACCTGGCCGTGCCCAGCGCCGACGGTCGCGGCCGCGGCGTCTGTAGGAAGAGAAAGATCACGCTTGCCTTAGAAACCAGCCCCTGCTGTGACCGGAATCTTAAAGAAGGAGGCGACTGGCTCGGCCCCAGAACCGTGGCTGAGGTGGCGAACTAGCAGGAGAGCTGGTAAACACAGCATCTGCTGCCTGCCGCCGCCCGCAATCCAGCCAGAGCCTCCGCGCACCCCTCTACACCCCCCCCATACACCATGGCCAGGCCCCCACGGGGGAGCTGGGGAGGCAGTGGCTCAAGTACTGACTCCTGCTGCGTGGTGAGCACTAAGTGCTGGGCGCTGAGCTTTACTTCCATTTTCTCCTTCCACCATCCTGTCTGTGTGGTAGGGGGTCTGTCTTTCCATTGTGCAGAAAGAAAATTGAGGCTCTGTGAAGCAAAGGCAGATAGTCTCAAATACTGTTGTTGTTGTTGTTAGGTGCCACTGAATCGGCAACCACGCATAACGACAGATCTGAGCCTTGCTCTATCCTGTGCCGTCCTCAGCTCCTCTCATATTCTGGAGCCCATTGCTCTAGTCACTGTGTGGTGACCAGGGCTTTTGGACCCCACAGGCTGCTCTGCTGGAGAGAGACCTGGTGAAATGTTCTCATAATCAAACCCTAGAGCCTCGGAAGCAATTCAGACTCATAGCCACCCAATGGGGCAGAGCCGAACGGGTGATCTCCTGGCATAGGGAGTTAGGCTGCTAACCCGCTTTGAATCCACCAGCGGCTCAGCAGAAGAAAGATGGGCAGTCTGCTCTCATGCGATTTACAGTATCAGACTGTTAATAGAGGGCTAGCCATGCTTTTGGATTGGCAGAGCACCTCCTTACCACTAAGCCCCTACAGTGGGCCCCTGTGGGCCACTCCTGCTCTGTCAGTGAGGTCCCTCTCAGCATCTAACTCCAACAATACCTAGTAGGGTCATGAGCTGAAGCCAAATGGATCTCAAATTTAGGGCTGTCTAATTTAAAAAGCCTGTCGTCATCCCCTCCTGTTTCCCATTTTTCTGACTAGGCTACAAAGTGGTCAGTTTGTCAGAAGAGGTGGAAACCCTCGGAAGCAGGGATCTTGACTTCCGAACCCAGCACCAGGGAGTGCTCCTCCCTCTGCAACTCAGTTCTTTCGATGTGACACCTCCACCACCACCACACCTACTCTATACCACGTCCTGCAGAAGATAGGGAAGAAAAAAAAAAAAAAAAGAATAGCAGACAATCTTGTTGCAAGTAGCAGCCCAGGAGACAGGTGCTAAGCCATCTGTTACTGTGAGGACTGAGCTGTGCTAGACCAAGGTGGAGGTTGGGGGTGTAGAGACCCTACAGACACATTTCCCACGGCAAGGCCTCATGGCTAGGGGAGCCACCGTCTAGAACACGAGAAGTGGGTATTCAGACAGGATGAGAGTGCATGCTCTACCCATAGGTAGACTCCTTACTGGTCCTTTTGGGAGCTTTAAGCCCCTGAATGGAGACACAACATGGCATTCTTGTGCTCTCTCATCTGGGCTCCCCTAACAACAACAACATTCTGATCTTGCAAAGAGAGCCATTTAAAAGTTGTGTTCCTCCCTGCCTTGTCCTCACATATCCATTACTTACTCAGCAAATAGTTCTCAGCATCTGTTATACGAAATTCAGAGTCCTCAGGTGGCACAGACAATTAAGCGCTTGACAATTAACGGAAAAGTTACTGGTTCAAACCCCCCACCCCCCATGCCTTGGAAGAAAGGCCTGGTGGTCTGCTTCTGGAAGGTCCCAACCCTGAAAGAGCTGGAAGCACCTCAAAGGCAACCTTGTCAGTGATCAACACAACTGAGCTCTACACACAGGAAATCACCATAAGCAAGAATCAACTCCTCGGCAGTGGGCTGCTTTGTTTCTTTTTATTTGCCAGGTGCTGATCAGGTACTGGGCACCTCTTCAGTACTGTGGGGGGAATCCACATATGAGGTGGGAAGATCGATCACAGGGCTGGATGTTAGGAGATGCATTTTAATTCTGAATTCTTGGAAAGAATGGCTGTGTGACCCTGGATGAGCCACGAATCTTTTGGGGGCCTCAGTTTCCTTGTTGGTCAAAACAGGGACAAGAGCACCTTCCCATCCTCCTTCACGAGGATGTTTGCAGAGCTCAGTGGAGATGATGGATGTGAAGGAGCTTTGAAAAGCATAAAGCCACCAGACAAATGTCAGGGATTAGTCTGTCTCCAAGGCAGGAGGGGGCTGCTGGGAAGTTAAGCTTAGAAGAAATTCTAACTGCAGCCCCTAACTTGACTATGTGAAATTCCATCTTCTCCAAATCACTGATTCTATTCCTTGGTGGGAGTCTCTCCATTGTGAAATGTCATCCTTCCCAGGCAGTGCCCATGACATAGGGCTTAGGGATGATGACCTGGCCTTAAGTTGGGAGAGATTGTTCGGGAAGATCTGAATGGGACCAGAGACATAATCTTGCCTCCGGGTCTCTAATTACTGGTGTTGTTGTGTACCATTGAGTTAGAATTGACCCACAACTGACTCTGTAGTGGATTTTCAGAGGCAGTGCATCTCATGTTAGGTGACTGCCCGTCTTTGTCCCATCGAGCAATTGGTGGATTCAAACAACTTGCAGCACAAGTCCTTGCCACTAAACCACCAGAGCTCCCGCGAGTTCCTGATACTAGTAGCAAATTTCCACAGCAGCCTCCTCCTATACTGTGTCCATCCAACTCCAGGACTGCATGAGTTTGGGTAGAAACCCCTTGGGGTCCCCAGAGATGCTTTTTCAGGAAGCACACTGATCATGTCAGCCAGCAGAGGGTTGCCTTCATGATTGATTCTTTATGTCTTTGGTCAAAACTACAGGTTCTGGGTACCGCCCAGACTACTGAAATGAACAGCAGGACTAGCAGAGGCTTTGTGGCCTAGTGCATAATCACAGATCAGGCTGCTAACTGAAAGGGCAGCCATTAGAATCTACCAGCGGCTCCACAAGAGAAAGATGGTCAGTCTCCTCTTGTAAACACAGCCGTGAAGACAGGATGATGGGGTTGGAATAGGGGAGACCCAATGAGTTGGAATCGACTAGATGGTAAGGGGCTAAGTTTTGGAGTTTTAGCTTATGCAGGTCATCCTTAAGCCACCCCAAATCTACCTGCAAAGTTATGATCTAAGTTTGCTGAACCAACACAGATTCAGGAGTTGTCTTCAAATTTCTGGAAACACTTTTCCCACTCCTGCCATCCCTAGCAAATTCTTGAAGATAATAGAGCCAGGCAGGCTGTTTTGAGATAAATCTGCTAAGCCTCTTCCCTGCCCCTCCCACCAGATTGTCACCCTGAAACCCCTCCAACATAAATATGCTACAACTGCCACTGAACAGGACAAGCTCAGAGGCCTCCTTGGGAACCAGGGGCAATTGCAGAACTGCACTGTCTCCTAGCTCAGGAGCCGAATTAGAATGGCAGTCCGATGTGGCCACAGAAAGCAGCAGCATGCTGGCCCTCAGGCCACTTGCGGCCAGCAAGTCTCTGGGGGAGACGCAGTACAGGCCCACTCCACACCCAGTTTTCCCTGGCAGTCTCGCAACCCATCCCTCTTGCAGCTGAGGCTCCTCTCGATGTCTTCATAGATTGCCTTGTCACATCCATCTCGCCCAGCCTGCTCCTCTTAATAAAGTGCCCTGCAGCCACTCCAGACAGCCTGATGTTATCCTTCACTCTGCCGCCCTTCTCCTGGCGTGGGCCACCCAACGGTGATTCAGGCCTCCCGGGTCAGAGTGCAGTCTCCCCTCTGAGGGATAATGCTTCCTGAGTGCCTAAGCTGTGGTCTGACAAAGCTTTGAGTGAGAATACATCAGATCCTCCCTCCTTACCCCCTTAGAGTGATCTGAGCTCTTACCCTGAGTCCCAATGCCTATCCTAGCCTGTATCTTCCTCCTAGGACTCAGTGCTGGTGCTCCTCCCCCATCCACATAGCCCCAGTCCAATGTGCCAAGCCTTTCTCTCGGTGATTGTCAATAAATCCCCCTTCTCTTTTCTCCTGAAAGCCCAGAGAGCTTCAAGATCTGAAGGAATGAATCACCAATGGTGGAATTTCAGGCACGGTGACAGGCAATTGAAGAGACATATTTGATCACATCGTGTTTACCTATGTGTAAGGCTGGCCCTGAGGATATTCTGGCATTTTCCCTCGACTATAATGAAGACTTGGGATAATAGCAAAGAAGGCAATAGAAGATACACTGGGCTGGGACGCAGGGACGCTGCTCGCTGCTTGCTCCAGCTCTGGCATTAATTAGATGTATGGCCCTCCACTTTCTCTTTCTAGACTATAGTTTTTCAATAAGTAAAAAAGATAAAAAGCACAACAAAACAACACTCAATTAGTTTCTTTCCAGTGCCCTCTCCTAATAGGCTCGGACTGTAAGCTATTTGGCCCTGAAATAGGCTTATGTCTCCCCTAGACTCCTACCCTAGGACTCTCAGTGTGGCACCATGTATAAGTGGAAATTAGGCAGGAACAAAGGTTTGGCACAATGGGCATGGGCCTAACACAGCTATTTAACGCAGCCAGAGTCTGGCCCTCCTTTTGCTAGGGAGTAAAGGAAGGATTTTTTTTCACTGACTTCGCCTTGTCTTGCAGAAAAGACACCTCAAGCTCCCAGTCGTAGTTGACTGCTAGTGACTCTCTATGTCCCCAGGACCTTTGGCTCCAGGATCAGTGTTGACATTCTACCATTG